GATGGCAACTTGGAAATCCCTCAACAGGGAGGGATCGAGGATGTCCCGCCTTGGGACCCCAGCACCGTTTTCTCCGGACCGTACCCCTCCCACTCCATGAGATACTGAAGGCCCCCCACCCGATGCCTCGAATCCAGGATGGAACGGACCGAGTACGCCGGGGCCCCCTCAATGTCCAGAGGAGGTGGAGGAACCTCCCGAACCTCAGACTCCTGGAGCGGACCAGCTACCACCGGCCTGAGGAGAGACACATGAAACGAGGGGTTAATACGGTAATCAGGGGGGAGTAACAACCTGTATGTCACCTCGTTTATTCTCCTCAGGACTTTAAACGGCCCCACAAACCGCGGGCTCAGCTTCCGGCAGGGCAGGCGGAGGGGCAGATTCCGGGTCGAGAGCCAGACCCGATCCCCCGGTACGAACACCGGAGCCTCCCTGCGGTGACGACGCACAGCGCGCTAGAGGCAAACGTGGGCAGTGTCTCAAGTCTGCTCCGCGCGCCAAAACCAGTCATCCACCGCAGGAGCCTTGGTCTGGCTCTGGTGCCACGGTGCCAGGACCGGTTGGTAACCCAAAACACATTGGAAGGGTGTTAGGTTAGTGGAGGAGTGGCGGAGAGAGTTCTGAGCATATTCTGCCCATGGCAGGAACACTGACCACTCCCCCCGGCCGGTCCTGACAGTAGGTCCGCAGGAACCTACCCACATCTTGATTCACCCTTTCCACCTGCCCATTACTCTCGGGGTGAAACCCAGAGGTCAGGCTGACCGAGACCCCCAGACGTTCCATGAACGCCTTCCAGACTCTAGACGTGAACTGGGGACCTCAGTCGGACACTATATCCTCTGGTACCCCGTTAGTGCCGGAAGACGTGAGTAAACAGAGCCTCCGCAGTTTGTAGGGCCGTGGGGAGACCGGGCAGAGGAAGGAGGCGGCAGGACTTTGAAAAGCGGTCCACAACGACCAGGATAGTGGTGTTACCTTGGGAGGGGGGAAGATCAGCGAGAAAATCAATACTCAGGTGAGACCATGGTTGTTGTCGAATTGGTAAAGGTTGTAGCTTACCCGCTGGGGGGTGCCTAGGTGCCTTACTCTGGGCGCACACTGAGCATGAGGAAACATACACCCACTGGTAGGCCACCAGTACTTCTCGGTCAGGCAGCACATTGTACGACCGATACCTGGATGACCAGAGGAGGGTGACGTGTGTGCCAAGTAGATCAGACGATCACGGATAAGCGCAGGCATGTACTGCAGCCCAGCTGGACACTGCGGTGGATATGGATCTGTGCGTAATGCCTGCGCTATATCTGCGTCCATCGCCCATACTACCGGCGCCACAATGCATGAGGCCGGGAGTATGGGGGTGTTGTCTATGGGCCTCTCCTCTGTGTCATACAGCCGAGACAGTGCGTCTGCCTTTACGTTCTTCGTACCCGGAATGTATGAGAGTGTGAAATCAAACCGGGTGAAGAAGAGGGCCCACCTGGCCTGGCGAGGATTCAGCCTCCTCGCTGCCCGAATGTACTCCAGGTTACGGTGGTCTGTCCAGACGAGGAAAGGGTGTTTTGCCCCTTCGAGCCAATGTCTCCACACCGTCAAAGCTCGGACAACAGCCAGCAGCTTCCGATCACCAACGCCGTAGTTCTGCTCCGCCGAGCTGAGCTTCTTAGAAAAGAAGGCACAGGGGCAGAGCTTGGGTGGCGTGCCCGAGCGTTGGGATAAGACAGCTCCTATCCCTACCTCGGACGCATCCACCTCCACTACGAACGGTAGTGATGGATCGGGGTGAGCCAGTACCGGGGCTGAGGTGAACAGACCCCGCAATCTACTGAAGGCCAAATCAGCCTCAGCAGACCAGCTGAGCCGGGACGGCCCACCCTTCAACAAGGAGGTAATGGGAGCTGCGACCTTGCCAAATCCCTGAATAAACCTTTGATAGTAGTTGGCAAAGCCAAGTGAGCGCTGCACCTCCTTTACCGTGGTTGGAGTCGGCCAATTACGTATGGCTGCAATGCGGTCTCCCTCCATCTCCACACCTGTGGTGGTAATGCGATATCCGAGGAAGGAGATTGACTCGGACCAGTATCTTGCGAACCAGGGACACATGCTCGGCGCGCGTAGCGGAATACACCAGGATGTCATCGATGTAGACCAACACACCAAGCATGTCCCGAAACACCTCGTTCACAAAGGACTGGAAAACGGATGGAGCATTCATCAAACCATAGTGCATCACCAGGTATTCATAATGCCCCGAGGTTGTGCTGAATGCTGTTTTCCACTCATCCCCTTCCCAAATACGCACCAGGTTGTAGGCACTCCTGAGGTCTAATTTGGTGAAAAAGCGGGCCCCATGCATTGACTCAATCACTGAAGGAATGAGGGGAAGAGAATAACTAAATCGTACCATCACATTATTCAGTGGTCGATAATCAATGCACGGGGCGTAAACCGCCATCTTTCTTCTTCAAAAATAAGAAACTCGAGGAGGCAGGTGAAGTGGAGGAACGTATATACCCCTGGTGCAGGGACTCGGTGACGTATGTTTCCATAGCCTCCATTTCAGCCTGCGACAGGGGATACACATGACTCCTGGGAGGTACAGCGTCTACCCGAAGGTTTATCGCGCAATCCCCCTCCCGATGAGGTGGTAATTTAGTCGCTTGCGTCTTGGAAAATGCGAGCGCCAGATCATGGTATTCGGGGGGAATGTGCACGGTGGGAGTACCGTCTGGACTTTCCACCGTGGTCGCACCAATGGAAACACCTAGAGACCTACCCGGACACTCACGCGACCACCCCGTAAGAACCCTCTGCGGCCATGAGAAATTGGGGTTGTGAAGGGCTAACCACGGGATACCCAAGACTACAGGGTAAGCAGGAGACTCAATAATCATAAAGGTGATCTGCTCAACATGCGTCTCCTGCGTAATCATGGTGACTGGTACCGTAACTTCCTTAACCAACCCGGACCCTAATGGTCAACTATCAAGTGCTCTGATGGGGAGTGGAATGGTTAGGGGAACCAATGAAATGCCTTGACGGCGTGCAAATGCCCTGTCCATAAAATTCCCAGCTGCACCTGAATTGACTAGCGCCTTACACTGGGAACCTACCAAGTGATCGGGAAAGGAGATAGATAAAGTACAGTGCACCGCAAAGGGCTCTGAACACGTTTGGGTGTTCGTTACCTGGGGTGATGCGTGAGTACCCTGCCTACCGCCTCCAGAACCAAAAGAACGTTGACTGCGACGTGAGGTGGATTGTCCCTTGGCACTGTCGCTGTCCTCCTGCGCAATCTCGACCGGCTGCTCCCCCCAGCTCCATCTGCTCGGGGTCAGAGTCGTCTGGAGTGGGAACGGGCAGACCCCTACCAGGACGTCCTCTGGCTGCCAGCAGATTGTCCAGCCGGATGGCCATGTCCACCAGTTTGGAGAACGATAGCATGGCATCCCGGCAGGCTAGCTCCTGTCGGACGTCCTCCCTTAGGTGGCACCGGAAATGGTCGATCAGGGCCCACTCCAGCGTGTAGTCTTGAGTGGTCCTCGTCCCCTGCCTCAGATGAACCAGTCGTTCGCCTGCCTCTCGACCCTCAGGCGGGTGATCAAAAACAAGTGAGTGATTCTGTGACGAGGTGTGAATGAAGGAGTCAAGCGCAGGAGGTAAAATACCAAAGTCCAGAGTTTATTCCATTTACATAAATCAAACGCCCCAAGCGTCAAACGAAACTATTTCAAGGGAAAACATCTACCTTGGCATAAACACAGTGAATAGTAGCTCAACCGAGCTACACGCTCTCACAACAAACAATCACTCACAAAGACAAGGGGAACAGAGGGAACAGTTATACACATACTAATTAGGGGAATGAGCACCAGGTGTGTGTGATTGACAAGACATGACAAGTGGAGCGATGAGAATGGGATCGGCAGTAGCTAGAAGTCGTGACAAACCAGCCATTGCGAGGGAATAGGCCTATATGTCTCATGGGTAGTAGTCTACAACTGCAAAGTTTTTTTAGGACATTACATTTACTGTTGTATGAATACATGGCTAATAGCAGTGGGTATTATATTTAGAGTTAGTGATATAGTTCATGTTTCCACTTCCTCAGGTGTTTAACCCCAATTGAATTAGCCTATGATATTAGTTAGTGCACATAAAGATGTATGTAATTAAACTCTATTGAACGTGGGCTGGTGGCGATAAAATGCCAGGGTCTAATTATTTTCCTAGTCTGCCCCTGATCTACTGTAATAATAAATATCATTCAACAGCTAATAATCTATGCTAGGGAGGTCATCAAGGAATCCCTAATGGCTGTTAAAGGATTTCTCAACCTGCAGTCAAGCACTAGAAGGAAGCTGTGCTTTCCTAAAACATTTATGTTATTCTGCATGGAGGTGCACAGCTTCCTATTGCTGCCCCATACTTCAATATGTCTATTATTGTGGGTAGCTGTGTAATGCTGACTACAATTCCATCAAATAATGATTACGCAATGTTGACAGTAATTCAAACTGTCAAAATTATGTTGTACTCACTATCCCCAAAAAAGGAACTTGCACTCAGTGCACATAAGCTAATGTATACAAGGAAGTTTGGTTTATGACAAATTTCTTCACTGAATGGGCAGAACTCTTTTGAATACATTTCATTAAAAAGCACACTGACATAGTGGTAATACATGAGCAAAAGCTTTAAGATGCCCATTTCATGGTCCAGCAAAAGTATACATTTTTTGCATTACATCTGTAAATTAATATTTAGAGTGCCAGTAGCAAATTGGAGGCCCAATTTACACTCAGGACCACACTTTTAATAGCCTATATATATTTATTTATCAAAAGGACTATGACATGTTTGGTAGGGCAACAGAGGACAGGGGGATTGTTTTATTTCATAATCAACAACCACCATTTGAATACAATTATTTTGTATTTTATTTCTCTCCCCCAAACAATTATGCATATTTTGTATTTTCTGCCCACTCACTCATTATAACTTTATTATAAGGGAAGCTGTTGTTCAGTAAGATCCGAAACTGATAATAACTGACATGCCACCATTACAGCCAATCCTAAACGAACAATGGAATGAGCATGTTTAGGGATTTCCTGGTTACAATAGAAGGTGAGTTTCTAGCTAGATTGTAAGGAAAGTTTGGTCTAACATGCTAAATGTCATACGTTAGCACCTGTTCACATAATCTAAGTAGATGTTGCAAATTAATCTTAGTTTTCACGGCACAAACAGCTGTTGTTATTTAGCTACAGTAGCTAGCTAGCCAGCTTGCTGGTGGAGTTAGCTAGCTAGCTAGATTTTAGGTAAAGCAGCAATCAGCAGTGGAAACAATAACAAAGCGAACTCCCCACCACTGTTTCGGTATAAAGCGGGTGTATGGGGCTGGAGAATTGTAACCACTCGCAAATTCAAAGACAGAGCTATGGATGCAAGGACTGACCATCCATGATATCAAAAGTATACCCTTACGAAAAAAGATTGCAGTATAACTGAAGTACACTGTAGTATATACAGTGTTTTTTACTGCAGTAATTTTGCAGTATAACTGCAATACCACAGTTGACTGCAGTTACTGCACTTTTACTGCAGTTTCAAAACTGCGATCTTTTTTTGTAAGGGTAGTTTTAACCATGTTTATTATGCAATACAGTGTTTGTTTACATTTACGTTGTTTCCAAATATTGGAAGGTTATATTTTGGGTTCTGATGGGGTACGACAGTTGAACTAAGCTCATGAGGCATTTGTAAGTAATATTTTTCAAAGATCAGTGGGTACATATCAGCTAGCTAGCTAACTTCTAAATGACCGACTGTAGTCACCAAATCAGGCCTAAAGTTGCATGAGCTACTCAGTCAGATGAGTTGATGCTAGAACCACTTGCTATATCCACAACAATATATTAGCTAGTTTTGGTAGTAGATAGCCAGTCTGAAGGGAGGGATCATGGCTGTGTGGATCAGTGGCAGAGTTCTCAATTTCTCAAATCCACTTGGATTGGAATAGATTTGTTTATATATATACAAGCCATGAAATATGTACAGTATGTTGATAGCTACCTACCCACTATAATAAGATGCAATAACAGATGGTCACTTTACCTGGCCTAGTGACATACTGGAAGGAGAACTAGGCCACTAGATTTCTACTTCCCACTTGACATCAATGTTCTATACCTCATCTTCTCATGTTGATCTGTGAAATGAGTAATTGAGGGAACTCTGTGAAATATGCAAATTATGTACTCATTCTCCTTTTGTTTAGTAACATTTTCTCAGAATTGAATTCTAGATTTTATGTTATTCATACACCAATAAAATAATCTGCTATTTCAAATGTTCCATTTAACATCAAACTTCAATTCTAGAAATTAATAGGAATTTTCCAAGCCGTAGGCCTAGATCCTGTACATTCCTTTCCTGTATTAAGCTTCAATGTTTCCTGTATCAAGCGTGTCTTAAGCTTCAATGTCCAATGACCATCATTTGTAATCATCCCCTGTTCCCTCAGGATGAATGTGGGCGTGGCTCACAGTGAGGTGAACCCCAACACGCAGGTGATGAACAGCAGAGGGATCTGGTTGGCATACCTACTGCTGGTCACCGTGCTGCACGTCGTCCTGTTGAGCATCCCTGTCCTCACAGTGCCCCTCGTCTGGACCCTCACAAATGTCATCCATAATCTGGTCAGAACAAGTTTTTATAGTTTGTTTTTTGTTTTTCCAATCAAATGTAGGCCTCATTGAAATCAATTTAAGCCCGTCTTTTTGATAGCTATAGCAATTTAAGTTATTGGATCCCCATAATTTTGAACAGTAGAGTAATGCAGACTTATGACATTGAAATGACTAACGAGTGTGTCTGTTGATCTAACAGAGGTGTGCTATGATCAAATGTATGTGGACATCTGCTCGTCGACCAATCTCATTCCAAAATCATGGGCATTAATATGGAGTTGGTACCCCCTTTGCGATAACAGCCTCCACTCTTCTGGAAAGGCTTTCCACTAGATGTTGGAACATTGCTGTGGGGACTTGCTTCCATTCAGCCACAAAAGCATTAGTGAGGTCTGGGGCACTGATGTTTGGCGATTAGGCCTGGCTCTTAGTCAGCATTACAATTCATACCAAAGATGTTCGTTGGTGTTGAGGTCAGGGCTCTGTGCAGGCCAGTCTTCCACACCGATCTCGACAAACCATTTCTGTATGGACCTCGCTTTTTGCACGGGGGCATTGTCATGCTGAAACAAGAAAGGGCCTTCCCCAAACTGTTGCCACAAAGTTGGAAGTACAGAATTGTCTAGAATGTAATTGTATGCTGTAGCGATAAGATTTCCCTTCACTGGAACTAAGGGGCCTAACCCGAACCATGAAAAACAGACTCAGACCATTGTTCCTCCTCCACCAAACTTTACAGTTGGCACTATGCATTCGGGCAGGTAGCGTTCTCCTGGCATCTATCAAACCCAGATTCGTCCATCGGACTGCCAGATGGTGAAGCGTGATTCATCACTCCAGAGAATGCGTTTCCACTGCTCCAGAGTCCAATGGCTGCGAGCTTTACACCACTCCAGCCGACGCTTGGCATTGTGCATGGTGATCTTAGGCTTGTGTGCTGCTGCACGGCCATGGAAACCCATTTCATGAAGCTCCCGACAAACAGTTATTGTGCTGACGTTGCTTCCAGAGGCAGCTTGGAACTCGGTAGTGAGTGTTGCAACCCCGGACAAACAAATGTTACGTGCTTCAGCACTCAGTGGTCCCGTTGTGGGCCTACCTCTTCGCGGCTGAGCCGTTGTTTCTCCTAGATATTTCCACTTCACAATAACAGCACTTACAGTTGACCGGGGAAGCTCTAGCAGGGCAGAAATTTTACGAACTGACTTGTTGGAAAGGTGGCATCCTATGACGGTGCCATGTTGAAAGTCACTGAGCTCCTTTGTACAGGCCATTCTACTGCCAATGTTTTGTCTATGGAGATTGCATGGCTGTGTGCTCGATATTATACACCTGTCAGCAACGGGTGTGGCTGAAATAGCCGAATCCACTGATTTGAAGCGGTGTCCACATACGTTTGTATATATAGTGTATGTTTGATCTGTCCACCACAGGTGATGTACTTGTTTCTGCACACGGTGAAAGGAACTCCTTTTGAGACACCGGACCAGGGCAAAGCTCGCTTACTCACACACTGGGAACAGATGGACAACGGCATCCAGTTCACATCCTCACGCAAATTCCTCACCATCTCACCCATTGTACTGTAAGACAGAACATTTGTGCATACTAGTATTATCCATGTGCTTTGGAGCAAAACCTTTGTTTTGTTTTCTTAAGTTTTCCTTATGGATTGCAATGATACATTAATGTAGACAAGTAACTATTGAATTATTGCATTCTTGTTTGTTATCAGCATTGAATAAAAACCCTAAACTATCTGTTAATTCTTCAGGTATATTCTTGCCAGTTTCTACACCAAGTACGATGCCACGCATTTCCTGGTCAATACAGGCTCTCTCCTCAGTGTCCTCCTTCCAAAGCTGCCCCTGTTCCATGGAGTACGAATATTTGGGATCAATAAGTACTGACACAACTGGATAATATCGGATTTATATTTATGTGTAGTTCACTTCTAAGGTCGAGAGGCGGAAGTGAAGAAGACATGTTCGGTAACTTCATGAGCTGTTTGAAGGAAATTGTTGTTTTTATTGCACAGTTCATGTTACCTCTGTGACCAAAAACAAAGGAACCAAAATGCACTGAATGCCAAGCTATATGATTAACAGTTATTGAGTGGCCTCAGCTTTATTTCACTATATTTGTTTTCATTATTTAACATTCATGATGTATGTATGCAATGTGCATGTATCCTCAAACCATTCTTCTCTCTATGGTCAGATAACATGTATTTGCCATTGTTTTCTAGAAAGAGCTATAATGTGAACTTCATCACCTTGAAAACTAAGTCTTCATAGAATTACCGGTATATGTCCACACATTAGAATGTGTGATTAGAGAGTTTAGGATAGTGGCAGCCATACAAATAGAATGGTGGACGCCATACAAATAGAATGTTGGACGCCATACAAATAGAATGGTGGACGCCATACAAATAGAATGTTGGCAGTCTTTGCGATGCCTTCAAGTTTTCAGTTGGCTGCCACATTTTTTCAATTTAGTTTGGTGACCAATCCATGTGTAGACTTATTGGATATACATTTCCATGTGAGCATTCTCAATAAGTGATAGTGCCTAAAAATAAACATTCAATATTAGGATTGATTCTTCAGCCTACATCTAAATACTTTGTCTTTGTGTGGAAATTTGGGCTACATCCAGGGGCATACATCATTGGCATTTTGTACACAAGTGCACTGTGTAGCAGATTAATAAATACACACAAGACAAAGTTGAATTATTGCATTGATTGCTCTCATCTAATCCCATAATGTTCCTATTGTAATTCCTTGGATGGTGTGGGTTTTGAATGATATAAGAGGGAAACCTAAGGGGAATGTTCAGCAGTGAGGAACAACGACAGTAACACAGTTAGGAGTATAGTAACATTGTACAGTGAGGGGTCGGACGGACCATCATGTAAATTCTCAGATTGCCTGTGTGGGCATGGCTGTGGGCATGGCTGTGGGGATTCTGGGGAACTCCACGCACTTTACATGAGGCCTGTGTGGGCTGCTATCCCAATTCCTGTGATGTGCTGATAGACCAGTGGGATTTCCGCCTGAGCTATGACCATGTTTGCATTTGAGTTATGAGGTGTCTCCCTTCTGAGGTGGTGTGTTTGCTCTCCTGGGGGAAGTAGCATAGGGGAAATGGTGTCCTGGGTAATGATTTGACTACGCTGTAGAACATGCCAATCTGTTTACCTGGGAAGCACATGCAAATGATCTAGATCTGACAGACTGCAGAAACCCATATGGGGTCGTCGGACTCGCATCCACTGTCTGGATTGTAAACAACATTTGTGTCACCTTTTCAGAGGTAGAAGTGAAAAGCAAAAGTGTTGCACCACCTGGCTTGTGAATTGCAGCTAACAGGATGACAATCTATTCTAAAACCTGGTAATATTGAAGGCTGTCAAGGTGAACATTTGAGTTAGTCAAAGTATGGGGTGTTTGTCCCTAAATACCAGAAGATACCCAAACTAGTCATGAATATACAGTATAATAATATACCAATTAGCCATACTGCCTGGATACATGTTGATACCCCCATTTACAACCACATTACCTGATGATGAATATCCAAGTTTACCCTAAAACCAGAATATAGAGCAATACGTCATCGACAATGGTTCTGCTTCCACTTTTTTATTTCAAAACCACAGATTTGATGATGCATGCCTTTGAATTACAACATGCAAAAATTACGAAGACAGTATTTATGACTATGGCCATAAACAGCATTCTGTTAGATACAGGGGTATTGTGTCATTTATTAACTGTATTTCCGAGTATAGGTTGTTGTCTGAAGCATATCAGAAGTACCCTAGAAGTTTCACATAAAGCTGCATATTCCTGGATGATCCTCTCAGGTTTCTAAGAAACCACAACTTCTCATGAAACTATATATTTTTCCCAAATTTGAACAAAAGAAAAATATATACATTATTCAGTTTGTAAATACATTTTCTGAACATTCTCTGCTCTTACTCATCAGTAAAACTTTGGGGATTCTAGGTAACTGTCCCTGAGTAGCTTGAGAACCTCAAATAAAAGTGGGTGGGGAAAGATAAGTCTTCTCTGACTGCAGGTTATTGTGGGAGGCAACCCACCTCTCCAGAGACTACTGTAACTGCACATCAGCATAACGGTATGCTTACTGTGAAATACTGTATATCCACATAAAAGGTGTATTGCACCCCCTGTTGTTCGTGTAGAGCAGTTTCAGTACAACTCATACAGACAATGCATCATTCAGTACTACTATCTTTCTAGGGCTTTCTGCTCCTCTCAGTATTCCCCTTCTACAGGCAACAGGTGAGTGGGCTTTCCACTGGTGGAAATTATGTCTCAATATGAAGTGGTATTTTACAATATCATAAATTTATTGACATCCACATGATTATTTACAGTAAACAGTACAAAACTACCTGGCCACCAGATCTGTACAGGTATATACATAGCCAATTCTACAACACAGAATAAATAATTGCGGCCAGAATACATAAGTACAATATCTCACAGTATATAAGTATTATCCATTTTTAAGGCAATGCTTGTGATATGCTGTCGGAGGGTAATTTTGGACGGGCCAGTGGCCCCGAACCCCGTCTCAGTCCCCAGTATCTATGCTGCAATAGTCTATGTACCAGCAGGCTAGGGTCAGTCTGTCCTATCTGGTGTAATTCTCCAGTCTTATCTGGTGTCGTGTGGTCTTAGTGCTCCTCTAATCTCCCTCTCTCCCTGATCCTAGAGG